TGTGTGTGTGTGTGTGTGTGTGTGTGTGTGTGTGTGTGTGTGTGTGTGTGTGTGTGTGTAGTTAATTTACGTTTATATTTTTCATTTTATTAATGCAATAAATTTGATAATAATATTTCTATCTAATCGATCTAAATAGTACATATCTAATAATAAATCTTTATATTGTAATGTATATTATATCTTATATCTTATTATATACATGAGGAATATAAAATATATGTAATTTACTTCTGAAATGTTTTATTATTTTTATTATTATATTTCATAAATAATAAAATATAATGAAAAATAAATCACTGAAATATTTATTATTTTGTTATTTTATTTGTTAGTATATATTTAATTTTAAGATACTAATATTTTACTTTTAATATTTCTAATTTTACAATGTTTATCTTTTGAAATTGGCGCTTTTTCCTATCCAGACTATGGCGGCAGGTCACCTGTTTTCAAGGCAAACCTCAACATCAAAGATGCCGACACTTACTGTCGTAACTGGTTAAATTGTGCCCTCAATCCCCATTTGGGGAGCTTTGCCCTCCCCCTCCCTCGAATCTCCTATCATGCATAACAAAGTCACAACTCATATTCAGTTTTTCTGTCAAGTTCTTTTATTTTGAGTGAAACCGCGTCGATTAAGTTCAATTTTATCAAAATCGGAGGTGAAGACTGGTATTCTAAGTAATTACCGGTAGAACATATCATAGATAATTATTCATTATGTTATTATACATTGCATTTATTTCATATTTCGTACGCATTTCGATCATCGACACGCACTATTACATCTACTATTTCATGAAACACGATTTTATCAGCAGAAATAGATGTGACTTATAATTTCAAGAGTTCAGGAGTTGGTGGCGGTAGTGTACAGCGATTTTTGGTGTCACAAAAAAAAAGGCCGGAATGGCCGCTCTCAAGCTTTTTTCTGGTTTCAAAAATCTGGCATCCCTGCTGCCTACTCTTGATTTCTAGTTTTCATGATTGTAATGTAATCTGATCTAACCTCTTAATAATTGTGAAAAAGTGTTCACTATGTCAGTGAAACAAATTAAAAGTAATGCTGTAATTTTAACCTTCAAGAATTTACTGCATCTTATGTCAACAGAAATTTGCAGATGTAAGATAATTTTTGCAGCACTGCAATCGTAATGCTTAGATACTTAAATTTACAATGTTTTTAATCTATGTGATATTGTTTTGTAAATTTAAATTTTTATAAGATGATAATTCGCACTTATATTGTTTATTTATGAAACACTACTTAAGAATTTTATATTTTTACTTACAATGTCTGAAGGAAAACGCTATTATTTAGGTTAACATGTCACGGTAATGTGTCAACTTATTTTTGCAGTATTGCTAATAATGCAATATTGCAAAATATTATATTAAAATATTACATTTATTTACAGGAAGCTGTGAAAGTTTATTGCTTACTTATGAAAGTTACTTAACGATTATCTTTTTACTAAGTGATATCTATTAAACAAGTTCAAAATGAATGAAAATGAATCTATGTACGGGACAACTTTGTCTCAAGAGTCTATCAAAGTTATAGCAGAGAGTATTGGTGTAGGTAACTTTCCAGACGAGGCTGCAAAGGAACTTGCAGAAGATGTGAGTTATAGACTAAAAGAAATTATTCAGGTTAGTTAAATGATAAAAGATTTTTATCAAGTTTTCATTTTATCAAGTTTGAAATAAATTAATTTTATATTTATATCTTTAATATCTTTGAAAAGATAAGACTAACATTTTCTAATTATTTATTTTAAGCCTCATTTATATATTATTTAAATTTTCTGTTTGAGATAAATATAAAATTAAATATAAAGATATAAATTAAGATATAAATATAAAGATATATATCTTCTAATTTATATTTAGATATCCTTATCATCTCTCTTTTAAGAATTATAACAATGTTTGTAATGTTAAGTATATAATATAACACATATATAATTTTTATTTTTAATAGACTATATAAAAATATTATAATGTTACATATGACATATAAATTAATAAAACATTTACAATAATTATGTTTTTTATAGGATGCTGCAAAATTTATGCGTCATGGAAAACGCCAACGCATGACTGCACATGACATAGATCATGCACTGAAAATTAAGAATATTGAGCCAACATATGGATTTTTCGCCAAGGATTACATACCATTTCGTTTTGCATCAGGTGGCGGTAGAGAATTGCATTTTGTAGAAGAGAAAGAAATTGATCTTAATGAGGTTGTAGCTACAGCTGGTGGACAATCTTGGCCAAAGCTACCTTTGGAAGTTACATTGCGAGCCCATTGGCTATGCATTGACGGAGTGCAACCTACTATACCAGAGAATCCACCGCCAGTATCAAAAGGTTTCTGATTTTTTTTATTCTTACAGAATATAAT